AGAAACGGGAACATGGACCTGAGGAACAACCTAGATGGACTCAGGAAGACGCCACACATATAGGTAGGTATATTACCCGTATCATAACCTGACAGATGGTAGATGACATCTCCAGTGATGCTCAACCTTTATTGGGGCTCAAAAAATAGTAGAGCAGGTCAGGACTCCTTATCGGGACTCGTAAGGTATTGCCATCGATCTTCACCCGGGTGATCAGATTCTGACATTGAAGGGCCAAGGTTTCTTCCCGAGTCCAACCTTCGGACGGCTACCCCACATCGACCGAGTCCGGGACGCCGTTCCTTCCTCCTGATGGGCCGCCAGGAGTTTCTGCCTGATCACTGACACAGCCATTGACCAATGGTCTTGGCCGTGCGTGTTGCGAACCTCAAACTCAATTTTTCCACCATCGCTTCTCGTGCGAGCTCCGGGCCGGACAATCACAATAGATACCCCACCTGTCTGAATAGACCAGAACAGTAAACAACCCACCCTATTGCTTGCTATTGTCGCGGTACTCGCATTATTGCAACGCAATGGACCGAGTACAAGATTGGGTAACTGGTCTTCCTACTCCCGGAGTTATTGCTGCCCCTTTATCTAGCCCTGTCGCGAGCAACATCTCCCTCTCTTCAGGCAAATCGAATCCTCCTCCGCTGAGAAGAAAAGGAAACATCACGCCCGATCAGCTTCCCGACAAGACCTATCATCAGCATCATCGTGGTCATTCAGAACAAAACTCAAAGACATCTCAACAGCAGCAATCATCCATCACGACGCGTCAACCCCCGCAGGATACAGCCACCAATATTCCGTCAGTCACTCGACCAACTTTCGACATTGCTTCTTACCAGCAAAACAACGAGCTCACCATGTATGCCCACGACAGCAAGGCCATTCGTGGCAATTTTATCCCCGTGTCCAAGTCAATGAATGCTCGTGCCCCCACTCCCCCGCGGGAGCCGTCCGAGAACATTCACCACTTCTTGCAGCTCAGCTTGACCGAATCGCAAATGGAGAAGTTAGCCAAAGTGTAAGATAACCAGCGATATGTGGGCTGTTTTACCAATGCTAACCCGCATAAGCTTATCCGAGGATGGCGACACAGAACGAGAATCGCGCGGTCGTCCAGCTCCTCGGACTGAAGTCCAGCAGCCCGACGTCGTCGATTCAGTCAAGCCCAAGCCCAAGGCCAAAGAGCACCAGACGCTAAAGCAACGATTCAGATCTCTCTCCCCCGCAAAGAGAAGAAAGCACCAGCAAGAGGTGGTTGCTACTCCTCCCAGACAGCGCTCGCCTTCGCCCGTCAGAAGAGGTACGGGACCGAAAACCTCTGAGCAACGCCGGCTTGGCTATGGCTCCGACTCTTACCAGTCGCCTCAACCTGCTAGCAAGCAGAGACAGTTCCATCAGCACCAGGTTTCGTGGGATCGGCAGTACGATTCTCCCAAGCCTGTGAGCAGACAGAGACAGCAGCAATGCATGTCCCCTCAGTCCGCTAGCAGGCAGAGACAAGAGCATCAGCAGGAACAACGTGCTGCCAACACTGCTGCCGAGGCAGCTGCCTTCCGCTTGGCTTCTCCCTCTCCTTCAAAGCGTCGTCAAGATCGTGTCCCTCTTGCTCCCATCGACACCGACATTGCTCGTCTTCACGCCAAGGTCACGGCCCATCGTGAACCCATCGTCATCCATTACTCTCCTGAGCCCGATGCGCGAGTGGCATCCCAGACTGTTCAGATTGTGGCCACAGACAAGTCCTCCGTCTACTCCCAGGAGAATCAAGAGCAGGCTCCTGATCCTCGTTTCCGCTCCCAGATAAGTCCCCTTCACGTCGTCAAGGAAAACAAGGAGAACGATAGCGGATACTCCCAGACCCTCAGTATCCTTCAAGACTACGGTAACTGGAGCAACTGGGCCAACTCCGAGGAGCCTGTTCAGAACAGCCAAGGCCCAGAAGTCACTCGCGCTCCCACCAAGTTATCCAACCGCAGCGCTGACCGGCCTGGCACCGACGGAGCCACAGGCACAGATGACTTCCACTACTCAGCCCTGACTCCTCTCTTCCCAATCCACAATATCAACAACCCCAACCGCAACATGCGCATGGCCTCCAAGACCTTGATCGGCGAAAACGGCTGGTTGGAGTCTACGTCTCGTCCCTCTGACGCCCCGCCCAACAATCAGCTCAACACCGCCACCTCCAACGGCACAAACAAGAAACCATCAACTGCCGTTCCCGCCCGCAAACCTGGCTTCCTCGACAACCTCGTCAAAAAGGCCAAAGACTTTGTCTCCACTCCTCTGCCCGACAACACCAATAACCAGCGCTCCTCCCACGACTCAAACAAGCCTCACTCCCCGCGCACCTTGCAAATCAGTCTCACACCTCGCGAGCAATCGCTGCTCTACTGCGAACTCGAATTCCTCCTCACCACCCTCCTAAACACTTACATCACTACGCAGCTCTCCCTAGGTCTGCTTGACCATAACAAAGTCCGCCGCATCTCAGACACATGGCAATCTAAAGGCCGCCCGCGCGTCGTCTCCTTCCGGTACGACCTCGAAACCCAACTCGATCTTGTCCGCTTACACGTCAACGACTTCAAGTTCTACGGCCCCGCAGCGGCCAACACCACTAGTATCATGGGTATCGTAGATGGCGCCAAGCTGGATGCAAGAGCGATGCGCATCAGGACGTTTTGCCAACCGGACACGGTAGTGGCGAAGCAACTTGTTGGAGCGAGGGCGCTGTGCGGGCTGTTGGGCGCCGGAGACACGGAAGAGAGAAAGCTGGGGGAGTGTGTTGGCTTCTTCCGGGCCGTGGTTGAGAGAGAGGTGCAGAGGGGGATGATTGAGGTTGCTGCTGGTGGCAATGGTGGTAACGGTGGTGGTGAGACAACGATGGACGAACAACAGCAGCAGAGGGAGTCGGGGAATACTACGACTTCGGGTGACGGGATTTGGGTTGGTGGTGCGCCGCAGTATCAGGGACCGCCGTCGCCGATTCCGGAACAGAATCTGAACCAAACTCAGACCCAGGCGCAGATCCAGTCTAGGAGCCAGAGCCCAGTGAGGCGCGGTGGACATTCGTTGGACGAGTCTAACAAGTGGCATCAGCATCATCAGCATCATCATCATCATCAACAGCAGCAACGCCAACACAACACTGCTCCCGGCCACCCTGGTGCCAGCGGCGGTCACAACCATGCGCTCTCTAGCCCGGTTCGGTTCACCACTTTTGCTGCTGCTACTAGTGGTGGTCACTTGAAGGGATCGGCGTCGCAGGGAATCATCAAGATGGATCCGAGTGCGTATGAGGATGACATTCATCCAGGCTCCAAGATCTTTTGAGTATAGCCTGCAACTGGTTAATGCTGGATCTCTCTTTGATCTCGTTTTACGGCGTTACGGAAATCGTATTTTCTTTGAGCGTGCTTTCTTTCTGCTTCATGGAATGAATGTGATGGATAAATGATGTATGATCAAAGATACCCCCCCCCCCCCCTCAGTCTGGTAGCTTGCTTTCAGAAAGGGAAAATGGGTAGTGAGGAGGAAGGAGCAAGGGGTTGGTACTGGCCGTTGGAGCAATGGCTTTGATCTGATGGCGGTGTTGAGGGAAGTTGATGGCGATGGCGTATCTAGTGTAGGAGTAGAACAAAACAAAACATTTCCATCAATCTTGACGAGACCAAGTACAAGAATAAGGGTGATTGACTGTAACAACGGATAATTGATGGCAAAAAGCACGACCATGTCAGGGTACGTCCCGCATACAACTCGCGAAGTGACATGAAATGCTCTGTAATGTAGGTGAGAAACTGGCAGGCGGGAACCGGCTGTCATCAGGTTGTCGGGCCATCTTTCAAAGACATCAAGTGGCTCGGGTTGGGGTGCATGTGCACGTTTACCTGTGCGTTAAGGTCTGTTCATCGGCGATTTGTACCGAGAACGAGTCAGGGGTTAGGGATTCTTGTTGACAGTGGCTCAGCGAACAACAGATGTACCTAGGAGACAGGCAAAGCCACAATGAGACGATATCAGCATTGGAGGGAATCTGAAATGTCATGAAACTGCGCTATGTGAAGCATCAGACAGTGTCCAGAACGAGCCCTAGCATCTGATGAGATTGTTCACTGCTTCGGATTCGTCAATCTTAAGCTCTTGTCCTCGTTCTTTTCAAAGTCCTTCGCTTTTTTTTGCTGTTCTTTTCTCAAAGCTATCATGACACACCTATATCAATCCAAGTCACTTGTACAGTTAGTTAGATGCACCCAAGCATCAAAAGGTCCCCCATAGTCCACAACATGATCTGGAGCTTCGCCGTTCATCCTTAGTTCCTCCTTAATCGCACCTAGTTACTAGATTTTTTTTTCATAGATATACCCACTTTCGTCACTATCACACTTTTGTACTTACGAATCCTTTTCATCGAACCTATCCACCTTGGCTAGTCACAAACGCGTGTATGTACACGCGACACATTACCACTTATATCCGGCCATCAGGGGTTCCATGGTTCTAGACACACCCGAGTCAGTTGTTCCCGAGCTCCCATTTATATCCGTGGACCCAGGCCGCGCAATCATGAACAGGGTCCCCCGGCTTCACGACCCCGTTACCGTGGCATCGGCCTTCACACGGTGACGCAAGCCCTCGTGGCTTTGTTTCTCTCTATCTAACTAACTCGGTCGGCAGTTCACCAGTCGTTGATTTCATGTTGATATTTTTTTTTTTTGGCTTGCGAATTTTCGTTGAATGCTGGGGAAGTCGAAACTACCTAGTTCCTGTTCCTCGTCAGTTATGGGTCGAACTTGAGTTCGTCTTTCATCCGGTCTTCCGGCGCATTCGCAAGGCATCTGGGAAAAAAAAGTTAATTCATATCTGCGAACCTTCACTCTTCTCCTTCTGATCAAAACCCATTATTGTTCTTTTTGCTTGACACCGCCGGCTGGACATCTCGTCACGGTTCTCTCACAAACCCGCAATTCAAATCGCACAAAATGTGGTCTTCACTAACACCAGCACGAAGACAAGCCACGACGACATCATGGAGGGATCGCCTATTGACCCTCCTCGTGGCCTTGACCCTCATCCTATCCTCACTTGCCAGTCCCCTCCCAATTGAAGGTGCCGTCGTCAAAGCCAACAACAACGATGCCGTCTCTCAGCCCCAAGGCCAAGCCAAAGCCGAAGCCAGGCAATTCTCAGCACCAGCGCAAGCGCAAGAGGCCGAAACAACCAACGCCGCTACCCCCGATGGCACGACCGACACCAACACAGACGACCCCCTCCTCCCCGAACGCAAATACTTCCACGAACCCGGCTGGACCGAAGAGCTCAGTCACTACGACACCCGCTTCTTCACCTCGCCCGTCCCTTACGACCCCCACCTCGTGCACCTGCGCCACCTCATCCGGTCGTACCTGCTCATGACCTCGTCCCGCTCCTTGACCACCTGGCTCGCGCACGGCACGCTGCTAGGGTGGTACTGGAACGGCGCCATCATGCCGTGGGACTATGATCTCGACGTTCAAGTCAGCAACATCACGCTGGGGGAGATGGCGCGGGAGTGGAACCAGACGACGTTCGATTACGTGTACACCCTCTCGGAACAAGAGGAAAAGGAAGGGCTGGGCAAACAGGGCGATGTCAATGTCAAAAAGTACTTGTTGGATGTGAACCCGTACTGGGCGCAGAGGACGAGGTTGGAGGGGATGAATGTGATTGATGCGCGGTGGATCGATATGGAGAATGGTATGTATGTGGACATTACGGGCTTGAGTGAGGATCGCGAAGAGACGGGGACAAGACGAGGGGTGTGGAGTGATAAGAACTATCATGGCTATGGGACGAGACAGATTTGGCCACTGAGGAGGACGGAATTCGAGGGCGTGGAGGCGTGGGTGCCGTGGGATGTGGAGGGGGTTTTGAAGGAGGAGTACGGGGCGAAGAGTTTGACGGAGGAGTCGTGGGCTGGGTGAGTAACTTCCTCTTCTACTTCTTCTTCTGTTTGTCGTTTGGGGTTGGGGGGGATGAAGTTGATGGCACTTACTGACGATTGATTAATGTGACAGACACCACTTTGACCATGGGCGGAAACAGTGGGTGAAGACGGAGTTGGCGTAGAAGACGTCGTGATGGCTTTCGTCATCGGAAGAAGCCCTCCTCGGGTTGGGAAGATGAGTTCTTTTGTCTTGTTCCTTGCATTTCTGGCGTTGGGATACCGGTGGTATAAAACGGGCACATAAAGGGATCGAACATAAGAGGATTGAAGGGGGATGAAGGAACCGCAGTTTCCATGCGATATTGGTCGTTGGGATCGTCGCCAGGAGCATATATACCTCTAGACGAGCATAATACCCGTAATCTTGTAGTCAGCTTTCCGATAGAATGTGTGCCTGTTAACTCGTTTGCGAGACTGAAGGAATAGCGGCTGGCACGCAAATAGATGGCCAACAAATGGGCCAACGCTGTTGTTACATGACTTGATCGCTTGATCATAAAACAAAAAAAATATCCTCTATGACTCGTGGACAATTAGTCCGGATATCACCACCGAAGTACAACTCCGCCAACGCCTTACCCAAACACAACCTGGTCATACTGCTTATCATCGAGATACTTTTGCAAAACACCCTGCAACGCGCCCTTCGTCTTCTCCATAGCAGGCACCACCCCCTCAATCTGCTCCAAGTTCCCTCTCATACTCTCCATATGGCTTCCCAACTGCTGCGCCACCTTGACGAGCTCCTCGTCCCCTTCGATTTCCTTGAAGACACTCCCACTTGTGTCCTTGTCTGTGGGCTTGACCAACTCAATCTCCCCTTCCTCCTCCCAATCCCTTGCAGCACCAGGTCCAGTAGGCCGTATGCCCGGCGCCAACACGTGGTCCCGCTTTCCGCGTTCCCTCCATCCCCTCGATTGCGTCCGCGCATTCGTTTCCAGCGTTCTCAACCGCCTGTACGCCCGCTCCAACTCCTGCTCCTCCTTCTCCTTCTCCCGCTTAAGAAGTGCGACAGAGTGTAGCAGTGGATCGAGCGTCCTCTCGAGCGCTTGGATCGCGTTGACGGTCTTCTCGAAGTCGAACTCCGCTTCATGACTTGCGCCTGCTGGTTCGCCGTTGATGTCCCTCGGTTGCTTGGAGACAGAAGGAATAGAAGGTGGCGGAAATGGCATGCCCTTCTCTAGCTTCTTGTGTAGACGAGACGCGAAGGTGGTCAGTATGTCTTGGGCATGGGCGTACCGACTCGAGTCGCTGCGGGTTTCGCGGAGACTGAAGAGGATCGGGCGATGGGCGTCGGCGATAATGCTGTCTACTGCGGCGATGGAGGGAGGATCGAGCGGTGACCATTTGGAGGCGATGGTGGATCGGGGGATCTGTCGGGTGCGAGAAGTGAGGTGGCGGTATTTGGGGACAGGCGGGGGCTTTTCCTTCGGTTCTTTGGGTTGTTGTTGAGCAGGAGGTCCTTCATTCTCGTCCGGCCCTACATTTTTCCGTCGTCGTGGCTTTTCTGTTGGCCCCGGGGTATTCGTATCGGAGTCCTTGGCTGACCGTTTCTCTGCCCGCTGTTGCTTAGCAGCGGCTGCAGGTACAGCCTTCTCTCTTATGGTAGCATTGGGGGGACGATGTGCTGGTCCGCGCTTGTTTTTCCGGGCAGCTTCAGGACGTTCGGAATCTTCTACTTCTGGAACAGTCTGACCCCTTCGACGTTGTCGTGTTGGCGCCGCCTCCTCAACGTCTGCGTCCTCGGCTTCGGCAACCTTCTTTCCATTCCTGCTCTTGGTGGTCTGTTTGTTCTGCGGAGGAGACATCCGATTCTGAGCTTGAAAGGCAGATACTTCGGCTAGTGATGAGCGACCGTTGTCCAGGTGTGCTGATGGATCTCGTCTATTCTCCTTGCCACGTTGAGTTGGTTTGGAGGAATGCTGACTTGGATTGGTTGATCTTGTACTTCGGCGGACGTCCTCCTCCTGTGCTGGTTCCTCCTCGATGGACGCTACTTCTTTTCTGCCTGGCAAACCCTTCGCTGTCGCCTTTCCGGTGTCCTTGCTTGGCCTCCCTCTTGGTCTTTTGGTTGGTTCCGGATCTGGTTGGACCTCGTCTTCTACTGGCTCCTCCGCAGCAGGAGTGGGCCTCCTCCGTTTCCGTGGCCTCGTTTCCTCTGCAGGCGCATTGGTACTGACATGTTCCGTACGGTCCTTGGGTGGTCGCCCTCTCTTCTTAGGGTTGAGCGGTCCCTCCGCGACAGTTTCCTCTCTAGCTTTAGGGCCTCGTTTGGACTGCTTCTCAACGACAGCAGGCGCGGGTTCTTCCTCTTGGGGTTCAGTATGAGGCGTCTTCTTAGGTCGTCCTCGTTTCTTTGGCCCCGCATTGGATACGCCTCCTGCATCTCCCGCTTGCGCTTCCTCTGTTGGCTTCGGCCTCCGTGTTGTTGTCTCTTCTGCGCGCCCCGACGCGTCTTCTCCAGCCTTGGACGCGTTAGGTGGACGACCGCGTTTCCTCTTTTGATTTGGTATTTCGGGCGCCTTTTATCATGGTTAGCTTGGGGCGTTTTAAAGGATGCCAGTCGAAATTACCATATCTGAAGTAAACAGTTATGCGCCGTCGATACAAATGAATAGTACTATGATTGAGTATTGAAGTTGAGGTCGTCAAGGTGCCAGTAAACTAACTGTAACTGCCCCTCGAAATCAAGCCACAGCAATGACAGCTCGCAACGATGTTACTGTACTGTGGCTGGTGCTTTGATACCCGCCGTGCTCACTTCCATCGATCTTTGACATTAATACCTTATTGATAAGAAGAATCTTGGCACTCTTGGCATTCAGTGCTTGGCTCACATCATCTGGCAGGCACGACAGGATCCTCGGGTTGGGGTTTGTGGGGTTCTGCTCACACTAGGTAGAATCCGAGGAGCCTGGTTGGGTGGCCGGTTAAACTGTGAACAGAAGGGTCTCGAGCTGAAGCTTCCCCCATTTGGCCCCTGACACCTGCTTCTCTGTTGCTACGGTTCCCCGCTTGTATCGTAATGCTGGGAATGGGGCCGAGAACACTGGACCGACGGCGGCGACTTGCTCGATTTTGTCAATATGGAAAATCCGAGTTTACCTGTTGCTTTTTGGAAACCTACTTACTCCTGTTGGTCTCTTGTGCTCGTGTTGTTAGGTGTCCACCCAATTACCATCTGTAACGCGCCATATCCTCTTCAGTTCAAGCTTTTAGCAAAGTCTCCGTCCCCTTCTCTCCCGTTCTGTCTGCCCGCCGAGCCGCCGAATTGATCACCAATATCTTACTCCACCCGCCCGCATTGAGCTACAGACTGGAGACCGCAGGCTCTCGTCTGATAGGTACGGCCAGGCCCCTCATTGCTCGGCTAGATTCCGTTGAGAACGGGTGTCCTTACATCACTTCATTGGGGCTACTGTAACACCAAAAAGACAGCTTGACATCTGATTCTCTTTTCCTGTGAAATTTCCTGTACGATCCGTTCTCCGTCCAACATTCTGAACGGTTCCAGTCGAGCTTCACGGTTTTCCTCCCCAGTCCAGACACAATGCGCTTCTCTACGTCCACCATCGTCCTGGCATTGCCTCTGTTGGCAGCTGCCGAAAGTCCCCTCGATCAGTACAAGGCCAAGTTTCAAAACTTCCTCGGAAGCTTTGCTGGTACTGCTGGTGGCGCTGCCGTTCCCCAGGCCGACGAGGTTCCTCAGCAGAAACCCATTGTTTCCGACACCGAGTCTGCCACCAGCAGCTCAGTAGAGCCCAAGCACATTGAGCGCCTCACGCTCGCGAACTGGAAGGATACCTTGTACGCACCCGTCCAGCCCGAGGCCACTACCCCCGAGGAGTGGTGGGTTTTGGTTACTGGTGGTAACAAGACGTGCTTTGGTATGATGAGCCTTTACCACTCATGATGATTCTTTTGGCAACAAACAAACTGGTTTGGAGAACTAACGAGTATCCTCATATCACAGGCCGCTGCGGACCCGTCGAAAAGGCCTTTGGCGAGACGGTGGAGAAGTTCTCGACTATCCCCAACTCTCCCCATGTAGCCGTTCTGGATTGTGAAGAGGAGCCTGTCCTCTGCAATGTCTGGTCCGCTGGCGCTTCGTCCCTCTGGGTCTTCGATATGCTCCCCCCGCCCGCCGCCGTCGATGTTTACTGGAAGCGCCTAAACTTCACCACCATCACGGCGGCCGATCTGCTCGAGACATTCGATAAGGAAACCACGGAGGGCAAGGAGGCCGCCGGCTTTCAACTCGTCGAAGGCGCGCTCCACCCCTTCGATGGTACCCTTGCCCGGTATAACCTGGCCGTCCCCATTGCTTACGCCCTCCACTACTTGAGCATCATCCCCTCGTGGGCCATGATGCTCTTTGTATCCTTCTTCAGCAGGACGATGATGTGAGTAAACTGTCAACACTTTGTCATTTGGCGGGTTTCTAACACGCATTCTCTTGTTGTAGGAACCGCAGCGTGGGTGGCGCGCAGAACCGCCGTGCGAACCCTGCTCGTGGTGCCGCTCCCGGTGATGGCCGTTCTTAGTTGAGACTGTTTAAACTCGTCGTTAAAGTGCTGTGCTCTACACGTATCGTTGTCGCTCTTTTGACGGATATGAAGGAAATGGCCTTCCATGGCGTGGTTACACAGCCCAAGGGTGTCTTTCCAAAATTTATCCAAGTCTCACAGATTATGGACCTTTGCTGGAATTTACTTTAAAATGTCGACGTGAGGGAGTTGGAGGAGATACCGTCGATTTAGTTATCATAGCGTCCAGTACGCGGATGATGAAGGAATGGCTTTGCATGACGGCTGGGTTGGGAGACGGCAGTTGATTGTTGGGTAACGCGTTCGAATGTCTCAAATGATAGGGGGGAAAAAGGGAGGGCGCAGGAACAAGCGGGATTTTTGAAGATCGGGGTCACCATGATGGCTAGGATCAAACGACACGATATCACCAATATGATTAATTTTTGGATTTACAAGTGTCTCGCAAGCTCGCCAGCCCCTCGAGCACTTGATCACGGAGTTGGCCATTAGCAAAGCGGCCGTAGCGTAGGTCGCTCATGCTACCCACTGTCTGTTGAATGGACGACAGAAGTGCTGCCTCTTCTTCTCCAAGAAGCTGAAGCTCACTCTCAAGCTCCGACACGGCGCCTTCAAGGTCGGGAAGAACGGAACCAATGTTATGTTTGGGCGTTTGTGAATGCGAAGTTGAGCCAAACAGCTACAAGACCAGACAGTTGCCACGAGGGCCATTAGTCAGCTCTGTTACTAGTCACTGTAAACAAGCGATCCTGAGGCGATTCTCAAATCTTACAAGGCGTTCAATTTCGGCTTCGTCATCGTTCTCTGGGGCCTCCTCCTCACGTTTGGCCTTGATCATGACCCGGCGCATGGCCTTGCCACGCTTGGCCTCGGCTTCGATCTCGGCCGCAACTGAATCAACGACGGCATTTCTCTGGGTCTGCAGATCGCGATACAAGTTTCTGATCTGAGGCGAAGACTGAAGGGATCGCGGAAAAAGCTCAGTGAACTCTTGCAACGAGATGATTGCAGGCAGCTGGGCGGGGACTAGCAAGTAGTCGCTGAGGATCTTGGTTTCAGTAGGTGCCATTGCGCCGTGCTTTTTTTGTTTGCGATAATGACGAAAATGGACAAAGACGACCTCGAGTTCTACAACTGACTGGTCATGTAAACCAGTAATAAAACAACAAATTCGTCACAATTAGAACAAAGAGTAATAAACACAGAACTGAAGCAGATGCAGAACAATGGAAGGCGCACAGCAAAGGGGACGCGCGTTGGTGCGCGCTAAATGCACACGACACGTGATCCCGTGACCCAGTGGTCACACTATCAATCATTAACAGCTCAGTCGTTTCATTGACCCCTTCCTTCCTACCTAGGCGGGCAGCTAGCTTCAGTACACCTTCCCGGGCCACTCACTGAACCAAGCAACCATTTCGACTTGACGACACCTGCCGCCGCCCTGCCATTTTTCATCTCCTGGGATCTCCAATTTCAGCATCTAACGAAACGAACTTGAGCCTTGCACAACATTGTTCTGTCGTCATTCCCCATCTACTCATTTTTTTTTTTTTCTCGCTGGTCCCAGCACCTCACCCGCTATCTTAGGATCATCGACTCAGGCGTTATTCATACCACCTCACTCGATCCACCTATCCAACCGTTTCCACTAGACCATCTGCTGAAAACCCACGTTTGATAGCAGCAATATATCAACTTTTTCGAGCACAACTCGGCCACCCCAATATCTCAAAATGGCCCCGTCCAAAACGCCCCAGCCGCCATATTCCAAAGATGAGCGCGTCCTGTGTTTTCACATGGAGATGCTGTATGAGGCCAAAATCCTGGACGTGCAGCCAACGGAGAGCGGCGATGGCTGGAGCTACAAGATTCACTACAAGGGCTGGAAGAGCAGTTGGGACGACTGGGTGCCGCAGGACCGCATCCGCAAGTTGAACGACGAAAACAAAGATCTCGCCCAGCAGCTCCTCGCCCAGTACAAGCAGCTGCAGTCCGGTAAGGCGGCCAAGCAGCCTAAGAAGGGAGGCCGTCCTGGTGGTTCGGATCTCAGCTCTGCCCGCGGTAGTGAGGAGCGAACTGCGGCAGGCACGACGACACAGAACAACCGTAACCCGCGAAGGGCTCGTGACTTTGACCTTGAAACGGTAGGTGGCGTTCCCTTTTCTTGATCCTTCTGTCTCGTCTCCTATAACCTCCTCTTTGCATCACCTTTTATTTCTTTCTGCATCTGTTCGACAACTCCAGCCTTCATGACCGCGAGTGGTCAAAAAATTGGATATTGGGACAAGCAGGTCAACTACAGAGGGCGTCGTTCATGTGGTTGTCGTTGGCGACCTTTTACAAGTGTGGAGTGTCGGTTGCTAGGCGACACAGAAAATCTCGGGCATACGGAGAAGGGGGAAAGCGTCAAGGGACCACTCACAACAAAGAAGGCCACGCCTCGGATTTCTGAACAAAATATGAAAATCCTGAAAACAGGACGGAAAAAATGACGGGAAAAAAAAGCACAATCCAGTAGTTCTGGACAGCAAACATGGCTGTGGTTGTGAAAGGGGGGCACCAAACCTGAGTTTTGGAGGGACCCATAATCCGGAGCTGGGACCCTGAGCGGCCCTGCCTGGACAAGAGCAGCGAGAGAGTAAAGCCACCACCCCTGGATCTCGCAACCTCTCAAAATCTACACTCACCAACATCACTCCCCTCCCTCTGCTCGCCAACACACTTTGGGCACTTTTCATCACCAGCACCGTCTCGGATCTCAGCAGCTTGTCACAGTCACTGGATTTGGAACAAACGCAACTGTCTGCGCAACCTTGTTCCGCTCTCACAAGGGAGAAGCTGCAAATTTCTCATTCGTCCTTCCTCTTGTCATCATCGTCAGCCGCCCTCTGCTGGCCCTCGTGTCCGTCCACCTTCCATCATCCTCTCACCTTTGTCCGGATCACGCGGCATCCTTGGCCGGTCACGGAATCACCTGGAAATTTACATTTCGCCTTCGCTTGGGCTATTTGAATCTCAGTCAGGGAGAGCAAGCGGCGAGTTTCGGGAAAACATCACCACATCAACACACCATCACATCTCTCTCCATCATCCCTTTGTGGCAGGACGGCTCTAAATCCCCCAAATCCATCATCGCCGTTGCATTTCTCGCTTGGCATCAGAGGATCAAATTATATATTTCGAGACTGCCACAAGTCATCACCATGTCGCGCTCCATGCGTAGCCATGGCCGGGATTGGGACGACGACACCAAGAGTCGCAGCTCCTTGACAAGCTCGTTCGCAGCCTGCGAGGCGCGATGGTCCAAGCTAGCAGAGCCGGCAGATCGTCTGATGCGACTGCCCAACAAACTCACATCAACCTACGTCGACCGTTATGGGCGGACGACGTTCGACGATACCTACGCGCTGGGCTGGACATCAACGCGGCCACCGCCCATCGGCCATAACCACCCCAAAATCATCAGGGCAAGGAATAACGGCAACTGGTCCGAGAAGTTAGAGGCATACTATAGCGAGCTACCACCAAACTATAACATTCCCCTGGCTGGTCAGGCTTGCAAGAAGCCCGATGAAGACTGGAGTTCGCGCAGCTCAACACGAGTCGCGACGCCTTTTAGAGCAGATTTTGGACCTTTCACCTTCCTCCTCGATGCACTCGCCAAGATACGCAAGCCTAGGGAACCGACTGCAGGGAAGAAGATGTGGGAATGCCGTTTCACACCGAGAGACATGGAAAAGGAGAAAGTATGTTTGCTGGTTGTGGTCCTTTCTTTGCTTGTCGGACAACTGCCCGCACATGCCCTACAACGGCGACAGGATTCCATCGTACAGCCTAGGTATTCTGCTACAATGGCCTCGCAAGCGCTGGTCATCATGCTACACCGCATGGCTTCCACTCATCATCTCAGCCTTAGTAGGCTGGGGTGGCGTTGGGTGAAGACAGTCTGACTAATTGGTCTGGACGCACCCTTCCAGACCATCAGTTATCTGCACAGACATCGTCGCCTTTGCCGCACCCTAGTGGGTCGACACAGCCACGCCAACACGTCGTTGGTTGTCCCCAGCACAAGAGCGTCGTGTTGTTAAGCAGTGTTGTTTGCCAAGCATTTTGTCGCTGTTTTTGATGAGACTCATATTCATTGAAGGAGCATTGCTAATAATTCAAACTTTAGGAGGACAACTTCCACAACCGACCATCCATCAAACTCCCGCTACCAGATCACGTCAAGGCGTTGCTCGTCGACGACTGGGAAAATGTCACCAAGAACCAGCAGCTGGTGCCAATTCCCCATGTCCACCCTGTCGACGAGATCCTGAAGGACTATCTCGAGCATGAGCGTCCCAATCGGGTACCAGAGTCGCCACAGATGGATATCCTCGAGGAGACCGTTGCTGGGTTGCGCGAGTACTTTGACAGGTGCCTAGGCAGGATCCTTCTCTATCGGTGAGTGGTGGCCCGCATCCCTTCCTTGTCCCGTCGGGTTTGGAATACTGACAAGAGGCACAGCTTCGAGCGCGCACAATACCACGAGCAGCACCTAATTTGGACTGCCGGCACGGACGAGAAGCATAAGAGCGCCTCTGACACTTATGGCGCCGAGCACCTTGCTCGTTTGCTGGGTAAGATATGACCGCCAAACCCATACAACCATATCTGCTTCTTTATCCCCACAACCTTACTAACTTGTCCCACAGTATCACTCCCAGAACTCGTCGCCCAAACCAACATGGACCAGCAATCAGTCAACCGCCTCCGCGAGGAGCTTATCAAGTTCACCAACTGGTTCAGCCGCCACACGACCAAGTACTTTGTCAGCGAGTACGAGACACCCAGCCAGGAGTATGTGGACCAAGCTAGAAGCGTTTAGGAATCTTCTTTTGGCCATATTGCGAAGGAGGTGTTGGAGGAAATGAAAGCAAAACGGAAAGCGGAAGCTTTGTCCGAAGCCCAGGGGGCGAAGGGCTCGAAGAAGAAAACCCGTTGAGGTGATTTCATCTTCTTGCGTTTAGCTGTTTTGTCGGCTTGTGCAACGATATCGAGGTGGTGACTTCTTACCTCCTCATGAATAAAGGTTGTACGGGTGTGGATGTCACTGAGTCGAAGTTCGGTTTAGGTGCGGTCGTGGTTCCGGTTAAGGCTGGAGGATGGCGAGATCAGACAGACACCAGTCAGTGGTTATGGTCTTGCTATGGACGGAGCAGTTGAGTGCCTGGCTCCCTCTTTTCTTTTTCTTCTCCAGATCATGTTGGTCTGTCGCTTTGATTATGTGGTTGTGGCTTGGTAGCTCCGTTTGGGCGCGGATGGCCGGCGTTTTTGTGTGTTGCTTTTTTCCATTCATTTGAGGTTGAGAGTACTTACGCCTTCTCTTCTTCTCATTGCACTAGGAAACAGCGGAAAAATTCGGATGGTTTTTAGAAAAGGAAACTGGTATGATAGATAATAGCATCGTTGTGTTTGTGTGTGTGTTGAAGTGTTGAAGCTTGAGTGAAGAGCCAACGACCGTTGTCTGTCCGTGAATAGTGAATATGATCTGCGTATGTGGATATAATCATCAGGGCCGGGTAGAAGTCTAGTTCCTTAAGGTGTCGCACACACCGGTGATGTTAATGACCTGATAGAGGTACCTCTTGCTTCAATCACATCCGTCCTTATTGCTCGCTTTTTTCCTATCACTACAGGCATGTCTAGCTGCCGTGCAGATCACAGGTAGTTACTTGTTCCAACGTGCTTTTCCCATTCCGATGATTTCCTACTACGTGGTATTCGTAGCATACAGTATTGTACAAAATGGTGGTCGAGAAAGACGGGAGTATTCGAGCAAGACAGTGCTTCTAGACGGCGTAAGATCCGAGGTAAGCCAACCGAGTGAGTACACGAGCTCAGTATTTCCCAGACACAAGCCCGTCCCGAAAGAAATTCAACAGCTGGCTCGGGACGTGGTGCCAGAACCATCCACCCAGCCAGCCATTTGATAATATGCTAACTGGGCGCGGTCCTGACAACCTTCCCTGTCCTTCTCGACCTCCTATTCCTCCTCCTCATCCATTCTTCCCCCTTGCCCTGTCAACAACTTGGAACTTAGAGAGCCTTAACCTTGGGCAAAACACTCTTCATCTTGCCAATAGCCTCCCAATCACTTCTCGTCCTCACGCCCAGATCCCCAGCCCTCTTACCATCCCTAACCACCGCCCCTCCCTCCACCACCATCTTCTCCACCCCTTCGACATTCTCAACTTTCTGCGCCTTCAGCTCCTCCACCACTTTGGAGAAATCCACTTCGTCCTGAACTCCCACGCCCGGGATGAACCGTCTCACTTGCTTCTCCACCACAAACCCGGCGTCCGGCTTGCGCTCATCCTTCAGCTCCCGCTTGGTCAAGCGGTGGGGGACTTCCTCTACCCGCACGAGCTCCTTGACTTTCATCAGCATACCGGCGAATTGGGGCTCGACGGGGTGGAAGACGGTTTGGTTGCGGCGACGAAGACCGAGGGCGGCGAGCACGCCGTGGGTGCGCTTGGGCAGACCGATGGCGGAGCGGTGGAGGGTTATGCGGAAGAAGGACATTGTGGCGGTTGTGTTGTTGTTGGGAAAAGAGGGTATCTCGGGATGTTTTTGTGTGTGTTGGGATGTGCAAAAAGAGGTGGTCTGGTATCTTGGTTTGATGCGCCGATCGGAGGGGGAGGTTTGGATTCGCTCGTGGGAGGGGGTTATCGGCGTCGTCGTCGTTGAAGGTCGGATGATGTAGGTAGGTTGGGGGATAAAAATGGATTGCTGCCGCGTGCCTGTATTATACCATGAGCCAAAGTCAGTTGACAGCTCTTGGAGGAGTCCGGGTGGGTTGTATGCGCCAGCGCAACCGAATTCGAGATGCTGTCCAGTTTATTCAAAAAAGTTGCGACACTTGCTCCAAAAGGTAAATCGTCTTGATATCAGGAAGGATTCGCTCGAATTACGCACCTCGAGAATGACGCTCTGCTTTCCGCCGTCGGTCAGTCGGTTGAAAAAAAAAACGGAGAAAGGGAACCTCGAAGGCCGTTGGTCGGTAGCCTCGTCTCGTAGCGTGTGTCTACGGCCCGCCGGGGATCTCCTCTGGATGGATCACAGTTGCCGTGCGCCGGCCGGGGACGGTAGCTACGGCCTACGGGGTTCGTCAGTGGGTACTGCGCACACACTGCGCGGCACGACGGGATTGGCCGGTTGCGATTTGGCCGGTGGGGCAACGGTTCAGGAACTCTCTGCTAGAGCAAGATAATTCTGCCGTGATTTACCGCTTAAATTTCAAAGTGAGGTTGTTGGTCACGATGGCGAGTACAAGTTCACGTCGATAGATTGATGTGCGTTCTACGTTAGTGGTCACTCTTTTCGTTCCTAATTTCTTGTAGCTTTCAAGATACTCTCAGGTTGTAAAATGCTGTAAACTCGCAAGCGCCAATTGCTCTTCAAGTCTTTTAAAGAAACTGAACAACCGGACAAAGCGACAAACGCAGTTTTTCAAGAACCAATCTCTCCCATCCTCTTTACTTACTACCATCTGTGTAAGACAGCCAAAGAGATACGTTTGGGATATCGTCAGTGGTCTCTCTCTTACTAGCTTCACGTCTTACAAGTAGTGTACGGCCGGGCGACCGGATCCACCCCGATTTAGCCCCGCGAAGTGGAACCCGGTCGGCCTTGCGGAGTTACCCCGCTAGAGCGCCGAAGCTCTAATTCTCCACTTAAGTCGGAGCCTCTACCGGAGCTTCCGCCGGAGTTTAGTGGGTCACTTCCGATCCGCTCACTTATCGATTACCGGATGGGACCCGGATCGGATCCCCACAAAATCCAACCGAGTGAACTTGGTGACAATCATGCTTAACTTTTAAGATCGCCGAAGGATATAAGGGTTATGTCCGTAACGCCAGGTCTATCTTTTGGGTTCTGTATCAGGTTCCCGAACGTTTACAAGATCTTGCTCCACTTCTTTTCAAGGTCTTCACTCTTCTTGCAAGGCTGTTGTCGTTGCTGGTCATATGATTTCCCGCCGCTCCTAAGTCCTATCCGATATTCCGTTGCAGCATGGCGATTCGGGATGGAACGACGGTACAGTCCATTGTATGCTCTTATCTAGAGATGTACCTACCTGTCACCACCTCTAAGGCTCAGATGACTTTGGCAGCTCACATTACAAGGCATCGCTGGTACCTGACATAAACACTGGCATTTCCATCTTGACAGTTTGCAGGTGGAGCGCATGAGCATGATCTTTCCGCCCGTCGTTCCGATCCCGAGGCGCAATTAAGGGTACCATCGCCCGATATCATATGTACAAAGTCAAGCACGATTCCTGCAGCCTGCCAAGGTAACTTTGTCATATCACCGTCACTTCTGCATGTATTCGTTTATGATACTAACCAAATACTCTCTCGTCATCACTGCCAGGTGTTTCATTGTCTTACTGGTGGCTGACATCTTAGATCCGCGAGTGAGAGCATTGATGGGAGATTGACTTCATTGTTAAAGAATGGTTCAATCTTTGTGATGTGCTGTAGCCATGAAAGATAATATAAAGGTTGAATTCTCTTAGCATAACAAGGTATTTCTTACATCACTTCCGCATGACGCAACGACATCTTGACCTGCTCTACTCGCCTTATCAACTTCGGTTAGCCCAGCGAAGGCCTATCATATAAATTTCTCGAACTTGACTTTCGAAATATCACTTTTATGTAAGCATAAGCAGGCTTAAAGGTGGAAAGAAGCTGTAAAGAAGCCTGTACATAGTTGACCGACACTTTGAATCCTGCTTATGCCTGCGTAAGAGTGATGACCCGAAAGTCACCTTCGACAGATTATATGTACGGTATCAACCTGGAACCAACCGGGATCCTTGCCAGACCATACCCGCTTACACCACCATCCATAACCACTTGCGCATTCCATTACACACAAAGATCCATCTCACCTTACCCTATCCGTCAGGGTGACGACGTACAGATTACAGGCCAGCAAGGCGGGCTACAAACAATACCTACACTCCACATCTATTCCCTCCCCTTCCTGATCTTACCTTATCTCAGTCGATTACCGAGACGCCATGCCGCGCTGCTGACTCCCCCAAGAGCACAAAGCCCCAGCAGCCAGGTCCAGATGTCCGAAGATGGGGACCTTGGGTCCAACCTCCTTGCATACATACCACGTAGTGCATTGTATAGCACGCTTCAAGCCGCCGATGACCCGGTAGATCTGCTTAGAGGGGAAGGGGACGACGGGGGGTCAAGTGAGATGACTTGCATCGGTAGCCGTACGCTAGTACCAGTACTTACGGACATAGATGACCCCCCTTGTTGATTTCTTCCCTTGTCTGTCTTGTACCTGTACCTACCTGACCATGTCGGAGATCCTACGACGGCTGTCTAACTTACGATTGGGAGGGAATACAGCCCCACGGGATGTTTCCCCACGACCCATGTTCTATTCTCGGCGGCCATAAGCCCCCCCATAAGCCTTGCATATACAACTCCTGTGCACCTTGAAAGTCCGGAAAAGGAAACCCTCCGGTGTGTCGCTGATGCATAGAACATTGTAAGTAGAATGTCTCGAAATCTCAGCCGGGGTTTGTCCTACCCAGTCGGCTTTCGTGATACGCGCTAGAGGCATAGCATCCATATCACCTTGACGACACGCAGCGCTGCAAACTGCACCTGTGGCTCGTATGCAAGTATGCATCTCGGGTCGACTTGGCGGCTGGCGGTCTTTCGGTGACGACAGGGGCGCCCGACTTCCGTGATTCCATCGTGTAGTCTCGACGATAAGTGAAGCAGTCACTGCATGTTGGTGACCCCGGCTCACAGTAACAAAAAAAACATTACACTCATTTGGTAGTTGATGCTGTCTTGATTGCATTATGGGGAAATCCCCCCGTAAATGGTAATGACGTATTCTGTCATACACTCTTCCCTTGTTTGATGACCCTCTACCACCTGCCGAAGAAACAAAATGAAAACATTCATGACCGTAACCGCTCCGTAAAGTAAAAGATCCCATGTCTAACCATCCCAAATCCCGATATAATTTCCTTTTAAATTTGGACCTCAACACGACCCTCAGTACCCGGAGGGCCGGGCTGCTGGAGGCTGGGGAGGAGGTAAGTGATATCATCCCAAGGATGACGGTAAAGACCAGTGCGGAGTCTCTTCTGGTCGAGGTAATGGGCAATGAGACCAATGGAACGACCAAGCACGAACAGACCGTTGAGAACGCCCATGGAGAGGTAGTCCTCAGCCTCCTCCGTGCTGAAAGCACCGCAGTTCCTTAGGAGATCAACGAAGCAGACAGCAATGCAGCCGTCGACGTTGAGAATAAGGTTGTCCTTCTTGGAGGTAGTGACACTCTCGACGGCGAGGGCGTAGTCCAGAAGCTTGGTAGAGGGGAACTTGGCCTTGACGTATTCCTTGACAAGCTCGACACGAAGATCGGGGTTGTTGCGAGACTTGACACGGTGACCGATACCTGGGATAAGCTTGTTCTGCTTGCGCATGGTGTCGACAAACTCACGGGGGCTCAGGCCCTTGTCGAAAGCCTTGGTGAACTCCTCAGCAGCACCATCAAGGGCACCACCGAAACGAGAGCCAATGGTCAAGAGACCAGCGACCAAGGAGCTGATGAGATCCTTGCCGGCACGAGTGGTGATAATGGTGTTCATGGCGCCAGACACGGCAGGACCGTGATCGGCAGTAAGCATGAGAACCATCTCAAGGAACTTGGCGGCATAATCGGGGAGGCGGCGGCGGAACCAGAGAAGGGACATGACACCGCCGATACCAATCTCCTCCTTGAAAACGTCCGAGATGGGCATGCCAGCGTAGAGGAGCTCCTGACCACGGTCGTCGGAAATGGTAGAAATGAAGGCAGCAGGCTTACGAATAAGGCCAAGCTCCTGAGCCCACGAGTAGTCGATGGGGATCTTGGGGACAACGGGCTCGGGGGCGGGGACAATAGTGCCATCAGCTACAAGCTTGTCATAGACCTGCTTGAGGAGAGCAGGCATGTCCTCGAAAGTGTCGGGAACATAGAAACCAGCCTCACGCATGCTCTTGTTCTTGGTGGCCGCAGTCTCGAGCTGAGAGTTGGCGAAGGCACCAGCGTGACCGAACTGAACCTCAGTCTTGAACATGCTGGCGCAAGTTCCAATGGCCCAAGCAACGATGGGCTTGGTAATGATGCCCTGCTTGACAGCGTCAATGACCTTGTATTCCTCAACACCACCGACTTCACCAAGCAAGACGAGAATCTTGCAGTCAGGGTCGGCCTGGTAGCGCAGAAGATGATCGATGAAGGTGGTTCCGGGGTAACGGTCACCACCAATGGCAACACCCTCGTAGACACCATCCGTGGTCTGGGAGATGATGTTGTTGAGCTCGTTGGACATGCCACCGGACTTGGAGACATAGCCGACAGAGCCCTTGCGGTAGAGCTTGGAAGCAACAATGTTGTCCATCATACCACCAGTGTTACCGATCTTGAAGCAGCCGGGCTTAATACCACCAACGGTGGCAGGGCCAATGATGGTGATGCCCTTCTTCTTGGCAACGTAGGCAATCTCGCGAGCGCGCTGATTAAGAGCGTGTTAGCTGCCTGAAACAACCAAGGCAATGGTGGGTGGAAGGCAAGTGGAAACTTACGCGCTCGGGAACACCCTCAGCAATGATAGCAATGGTCTTGATCTGAGGGTACTCCATCAACTCCATGGTGGAGCTGTAGACACTGCGGGAGGAGGCAAAGTTGACAACGACGTCAACATCGGGGTGCTTGGCGATAGCCTTGGGAACCTCCTGGTAGACGGGCAGGAGGGTCTCGCTAGTGCCCCAGTACATCTTGCTGACGAACTGACCACCAAAGGTGTAAATGATGCCAGCGACCGAGGGGGTGGAGCGCTTGCAGATGAAGTCGAAGTCGAGCATGCCCTGGACAGCACGGGGCTGCAGACCGTAGACGAAGCATCGTGTCTTCTCGTTGAAGAGAGCATGGGCGGGGAGAGGGCTCAACGGCCTGCTGGGAGCAGTGAAGCGGCGGATGTTGTCGTTCGCAGAGAGGTTGCCGGGAGCAGGGCTGGCAGAGGCGCCATTGGCACCGTTGGTGCTAGCGGTCGTTGCGGAAGGCATCTTCACTGAATATGGTTATGGTGACTCTCCCAGCGGATGACTTCCTGTGATGGTGGGGTATAAAGGAAGCGAAGTTGGAGAGGCGATGTGGTGATGGAAGGATGGGAGAATTGAAAGAGGAAGAGGGAGGGAAATGAGGGAGATGGGTCAAGGTCAAGACTTGAGGGGGTGTAGGGGAAAAGAAAGAAACGGGAGATGAGGTAAATGGAGGGTTTTGGTGACGGGACTGGAGCAGCGAGGTGGGAGGGGGAGCGTATTTTTTTGTCTGGTCGGTTCCTGCCCTTTGGTAAGTAACAATCTCGAGGGTACGTAACAAGGTTCCTCTTGGTCGGGTGGCAGAATTGCTAGCGCAAGTTTGCAGGCGAGGGGGAGGAGGCAGGAGCAGCTCCGCAGTTTCAATTTGACAGCCGATTTCACCAAAAAATACAGGGCCAGAAACTGTCTTCCAAATCTCAACTGTCTTCTGGTCGTGTGTCTTTCCTTCCGTGCTGGTGTTCGCTCGCCGCGGACGTCGAGTTAATTGGCCAGCAAGGGGTGGTCAAATCCAACAAGACTGCCGACTTCCCCAACTCTTTTTTGGACCCTGGTCGATCGGACCGTGATGCTTGCAACCTCAATGGCTATGCGACACCGGAATTGCAAAGAACACACGGACGGCACCCTCTGGGTTCGAGGTCAACCTTTTTTTTTTTTTCCCTTCCTTCCCACTCGGAGTGCGTTGCGTTGCTGACAGGCGGTGGGCCCCACAGCTTGATGATCCTAAGTACCGGTACCGCCAAGGGTAACCTGCACCCGCAAGTAACACCTCATCCGATTCTGATAGGCGCAGCTGTGCCATGGTCCATGTTCATCGCATTGCGTGTGGCATGGAATGCTCGTCGTCCCCGACCCGACATGGCATAGACAGCTGGAGACAGTTCGGGTGTTTATTCCAGGTTCTTTGGGTGCACCATGATGACCCCTCTCCCCCCGGGCGTCCATAAGCATCAAAGTAATCATGATCCTCTCCATCCTCCTGAAGGGTAAGATGACATTCGAGATGTTTACCACGAGTGTAGATGACAACTGCCACTAAGCAGCAACAGACCATAGGTCTTGGGTGTAGCAACTAGCCGTCATCCAACCTGGGGCATCATGCAATAAACTGTCATCAAAGGCTGTTTGGAGATATCAAACAGAGTGACCTTTCACTCCAAGCTCTGGGTGCGGGGCAACGGTGTCATCCACACAGCTGGATCCACATGTAGCCGAAGGGGGGTCCACCCGAGCCTTGCCCTATCTGGTGGCCCCCTGGGAAGCGGCCATTGCTCCCTAGCTCGACCCCTGCGGAAGGCGGCGCCCGCGGGTCCTCGGGGGGTTTCTGGTTCCACTCGGCGTCAACAAAGGTACGAAGCTGCGGTCCTTTTGTGGCCCTTGGCAGTGCATGATCACCTTGGACATTTGCCCAAAGTAATTGAGGTGATCTAGGCTGTAAAGAACATTTTGTGCTTCTCGAAACGGAAAGCAGAATAGGGGCAGACTGGCTTCGAGGTGCACGACGACGAGGGTCAAGACAACAGGGCCCGAGTATGGTATAGCATACCAGCCATTAACATCGGGTAAGATGTGCGTGCCACTCGGAGACCTATTGGACCACCTCAATGCGGGGGAACCAACGACAAAGAAAGATGCGTGATGAAATTAAAGACAATAACAGCAAAACAAAAAGGGGGGTTCCGGTTTGCAGAAGAGAACAACATCGACAGCGGGCTTCCTTATCCAGAATCGCGTGTCTCCCCACTACGGAACCCCGTGCCTCGTCCCGTAGTGTACTCCGGATCAGTCCCCGTCATACAAGGCTTTAGGCCGGAGAATGACGAGAGGGGAAACTGGAGTCAACCCGCGGACAAGCGTCTAAGTGAGAGCCGGCACCGGACGAACCCCAATTACGGGCCCGCCCAAGAGGCGCGGAGGGACAAGAACAACTTAAGTGGATGAAAATGAAAACCGTCCTGTCCGTCAACGCCATTCCAAATCGTACCACGCCGCCTCCGCCCCCGAGGTTCCAGCTTGCGCTTGGATCAATGAATCGTTGACAACGTCCATTGTGACTCAATTAGTGAGTCTCTGGGCCACTTGGGGTCTATAATTTGGAAGAGGAACGGGTAACCTTGACGAATATTGTGGCAAGCCCACTTGGGTTGGGGGGGTAAAAGAAGACAGTACAACACTGGGCATTCCCATGCCACAGGGCGGAGCACACTAGTGTAGAGCAGCCCAAAGCATTCCAATATTGTCTCTTTGACCACTTTGACGAATGAATTGCATAGACGAGGACAATGGTCTGCAATGGTGAGCTGCTTCTAGTGTAGAGCTGACAGTCTTGCGTGGACACAGAAGGCTGGATGAACCGAGCTGCATTCCATGTTGCTGAGGTGCTGGTCGACGCTGGCCGCCTGCTGATGCCGGTGCTTGTTGCGGTGGAAGCTGTGGGGCACACAGTTGCCCACCTTGCATTAGCCTGGGTTTGCCTCCAGTAAGTGTCCCACTAGGATCCACAGGGATACCCCGCGAAGTACCGGTACCTCTGACCCCTCGAAAACCCAGACCGCGGCATCCTGGAAATTGCGATTTTGTGCTGAATTGCCTGCCCAGCCAGTCATCCCCAATGGTTTCGAGGACGCGGGGCCGGTACCTTTTTTGCTCAGGCGTGGTTTCTGGCCGTGGTCCCTTCCGTTGCTCGCTCCCCCAACAGGACCAGAAAAGCAGAAGCTGTACCAACCGTCCCTGCAATTCTGACCTGCCCTCGCCGTGCCTGGCAAAGAATTGGATCGATCCTTTTCCTTTTTTTCCTCCCCTCCCATCCAAAGGCAAGCAAGCATCCCGTCTCTCTCTTCATCTTTCAACTCTCTCCCGCCCTTCTTCCCACCCCGTTCGATCAATTTTCCCTTCTCTTCATTCCTCCCCTTCCCTCCCTCCACCATCAACATCCACACTCGACCGTGACCTCCGTCATCGAGTTTCTTGTCGTCCAACACAACAACAGTCTTGCACCACTCTCAATCGACTGTTTGCGTGTTCCTCACTTGAGGTAAGGAACAACTAGCTCGAGCTGTGTGAACGGCGCGCTGGTTCTGGGAGCTTTCCCAACTTTCCCAACTTTGGGCGTGCTGTCACAATCGCAACTTGCACCGTAGACCAGTGATTTTATCATCAGGGTGCTAACAGGAGCAATAAAAGCAGGCAACCGAACATAGGAAATCTTCCACATACCTGAACTCTTCTAATCCACCACAATGTCTGCGAAGAGCATCCTCGAGGCCGACGGCAAGGCCATCCTCAACTACCACCTCACCCGTGCCCCCGTCATCAAGCCCAGCACGCTACCAAACCCGACCAAGCACAACCCTCCTCCCAGACTTGCTTCCCTCCACTTCGCCGAGGATGCCGATGTGAACGGTGTTCTCAGCCAGGCTGAGGTCACCTACCCTTGGCTCCTCCAGGAGGGCGCCCGCTTCGTCGCCAAGCCCGATCAGTTGATCAAGCGCCGTGGCAAGAGCGGTCTCCTTGCTCTCAACAAGACCTGGGCTGAGGCCAAGGCCTGGATTGCTGAGCGCGCCGGTAAGCCTCAGAAGGTCGAGCACACAGAGGGCGTCCTTCGCCAGTTCCTTGTTGAGCCGTTCGTGCCCCATCCCCAGGAAACCGAGTATTATATCAACGTAAGTCGTCCCATTGCTGGATTGGCCAAGGTCCTCCATAAATGAACTGCACGCTAACGTGTAACAGATCAACTCCGTTCGTGATGTAAGTGTTGTCGCTTTTCCCAGTCGTCTTGGCAATTCGTCGAATCATCGGAAAGGTCCCACATGCAAGTGCATCCGAATGACGGTGTCGCCAAGCCCAAGAGGTCCGATGTCCGCATCCCGATTCAAGTCGAAACAAATTCGTGAGGCAGCGGGCCTCAATTTTCATATACTTGGGAAAAAGAGGAAAAAAAGGATTTAGGGGGAAGGTTGAGAAAATTGGGGATGAGAAGCACATTTTGAGTCGTGTGCATGACTTGTGTTGCCCCTGCCAGTCTACGGACGAACGGAGGCTAAACCCAATTCATGTGGAGCGGGACACACCCACCGCCCCCTTTGCGATCCTCACCACCACAACCCCCCTCAACCCCTACCCAAACCCCATCACGACACGTGGTTCTCCAAAAGAATTGCCAAACTTAAAATAAAGTTGCGGAAGCTAACTGCACATCATGTAGGGTGACTGGATTCTCTTCTACCACGAGGGTGGTGTTGATGTCGGTGACGTCGATGCGAAGGCCGAGAAGATCCTGATCCCCGTCGACCTTTCACAATACCCTTCCAACGAGGAGCTTGCGAGCACACTGCTCAAGCATGTTCCCAAGGGCATTCACAATGTCCTTGTTGACTTCAGTAAGTTTTGCCTGTCAAATCAAGCTTAACCGGCCAGTCTTGGCGGTGCCCTGTCAGGCGTAGAGAACCCACACTCTTCACTCTGATAACCATCCGGGTTTAGCGGATGCATGACTCGATCATTAGTACTAACAGCCTCTCACAGTTGCCCGTCTCTATGCCGTCTATGTGGACTGCCAGTTCACCTACCTCGAGATCAACCCCTTGGTTGTGATTCCCAACGAGGATGCCACCTCTGCCGAGGTTCACTTCCTCGATCTTGCTGCTAAGCTCGACCAAACGGCCGACTTCGAGTGCGGCAACAAGTGGGCTATCGCCCGCTCTCCCGCCGCCTTGGGCATTGTTGCTCAGAGCTCTAACACCGGTGTCAACATCGATGCCGGCCCGCCCATTGAGTTCCCCGCTCCCTTCGGCCGTGAGCTCTCCAAGGAGGAGGCTTACATTGCTGAGCTTGATGCCAAGACTGGTGCCTCGCTCAAGCTAACTGTCCTGAACCCCAATGGCCGTATCTGGACTCTCGTCGCTGGTGGTGGTGCCTCCGTGGTTTACGCCGATGCCATCGCCTCGGCTGGTTTTGCTGATGAGCTTGCCAACTACGGTGAGTACTCTGGTGCTCCCACCGAGTCTCAGACCTACCACTACGCTCGCACTGTTCTCGACCTCATGCTCCGTGCTCCTGTGTCTGAGAAGGGTAAGGTCCTTTTCATCGGTGGTGGTATTGCCAACTTCACCAACGTCGCTAGCACTTTCAAGGGTGTCATCAAGGCTCTTAGGGAGTATGGCAAGGCTCTCATCGAGCACAACACTCAGATCTGGGTCCGTCGTGCCGGTCCCAACTACCAGGAGGGTCTCAAGAACCTCAAGGCTGCGACACAAGAGCTCGGGCTCAACGCCAAGATCTTTGGCCCTGAGATGCACGTCAGTGGTATCGTGCCTCTGGCATTGGTCCCTGGCAAGTGGGAGGAGAGCGGTGCGGTGGAGTTCCAAGCTTAAAAGGCTGATGGGTGTGGCGCACATGGTATTATAAATATTTCATTTCTGGTCAGGGAACGGGGAGCGGGTTTGGTTCATTTTATCCTGGTGCATTTAATGCGGACATGACAGAAGATCCCAATAGAGCGAGAACTCGCATGGAAAGTTGTACACAAAAGCTTATCTCAGATGAAAGGTCGGCATGTGAAGATGACATGGTGTCATTGACCTCAGATAATTACCCATGAAGCGTTGGTTGTAAGGTGGTGATGTGTATCTTGTTGAGGCTCGTCCAGCTAAGCACGAAACGTATCTACTTGAATTTACAATACTACTAGTTTCAGTTCTCGGCATGTCTAATGGTGTTCACCATGTGCTCCGAGTGATGCTGAGTTAGCGAGTCTCGTTGTCTGGTTTTGATGGGCAGTGTTCGAGAGCCTGTTACCTTCCCTCTAATACTCTTGAGTTGTAGAACGGTGAGGTACAGGAGCAATAAGAAAATTATACGATATCAGTGCCCTCAACGACCCGCACCAATTTGACTAGAAATCCTGGAGACCACGATGTTATTCAGGGGAAAGCGGACCGGAATACGAGGCTTTTGCCTTAGTGCCTGTGGCCGTTGTTGAATCATGTCGAATGATGTATTTCTCTGGCCGTCCTACTTCGCGGGGATGTTTGTAGTAGTCAAGCACTCAAGGTTCCACTCAGAATTCAAGAGCGTAGGTACCTCTAGTTCCATGTGATTGCCAAGGGCCCTTGAAATTGCGTCACACATACACACATAGGCACAACCTGATTAAAGGTGCACCGCATCGGGAAATACGGAATAATAGTTGACGTCGTGAATATCATGAGAATTGTATGCATGGTATCATCCTGTAGGAGTAATCATATACCTGAAACGCTATGCGAAATCCAAAACGCTACTCATGATGATAATGCCCATAAAAAGCCAAAAGAGGTTATCGTGCTTGTAGCATAGCTCTGCTCTTTATCCGCGACGTCCATCCTCATTCTCACTGCCCTGCTTCGGACCGCTCGCTTTCTTCATCCTCTCCTCCGCTGCCTTCGCCAGGATCTCCCTCCGAGTCAACCCAGCCGGTTCAGCCGACGTGGACGACGGCACCGCATCACTAGCACCCAACACATACGTCCCGCCTGTCCAACCTCCATGATCCATCACCATACCTTCCTCTTCCTCCTCATCTGGCGACTCGTTCACAGGCCCAGGCCCATACTCATACTCCTCCCCACCCACCACCCTCCCGTTTTTGGTATAATCTGCCCTTTCTACCTCCCTCTCAATCTGCTTGCACAAATCCCAAAACTGCCTATCGTGATCCCCATGCACATTGTGCGCCAACTCATGACACAGCGTCTTGCGGATCGTCTTGTAATCTCTGTACCCATCGTACGCGTCCGTTCGTAGTCTAAGTTCAATCACCTCCCCTTTGTTGCGGTTCAGTCCCAAGATGCGGGTGGTCCCCTCGTGATTAGAAGCGGTATACTGCCCCGGGTCCATTTCTGTTAACAAGCCGACGGTGAATTGGTGAGAGCGCATGGCGGCGCGGATGCCGGGGTCCGAGGCAAGCCGGTTAAGAAAGGAAAGGCTCCGGGAGGGGTTGGGGAGGTGGGGGAGGGGCCGGATGGTTTGGAAGGTGAAGCGGGTGTCTGAATCTGCTGAGCCGTTGATGGTGTGGATCCCACCGGCACCGGGTCGTTGGCTACTTGTTGGAGCTGGTCGGCCTTTGTAAGCCATGCGCCGCTGGGCTTGGAGGGCTGCTTCGCGCTTGGCGATCGAGGCGGAAGCAGCGTGGAGGGATTCGAGGGCTGATTTCTTGGGGGCCATGAAGCGGAGGGAGTTGCCGGCGTAGAGCTGCATGGGGAGGGCATCGTCGTCTGGAGTCTTGAGGAGGGATTTGGTCTTTGTTGTTGATGATGATGATGGTGGTGACTGGCGCTTCTCGACGATAGCTTTCGATTTCAAAAAATCGTATTCAGGCCATTGGTGGCCGAGGGCCATGAGAATGTCCTCGAAAGTGGTGTCGTCCCTAAAAAGCCAACTTTGGGAGTGTTGCTCGGGGGCGAACTTGATTGTCATTTCGAAGTGTTCGCCATCGTTGATGTATGATGTGCTGACCTCTGATGCGAGTGGCAGCGGTGCGCCTTTTGGCTGCGACTCTTGTTCCGAGTCGTTCATTATGATTAGTATGGACTACTCAATAAGAACTTGCGTAGTGTTGAGTATTTCCGCCCTCGATCTCGATAGCTGAGCTGAGGAATTAGGACAGCTAATGTAGATGAAATTTCAGTTAAAGGTCGTGATTGCAATGAGTGGTGTTTATGATAACTGTGTACCCAAAGCTCCAAGACCAATGCAAGAAAGTATGAACCGAAAGGGATGATGGTTGGTACTATTTGCAACTGCGTGAGAGGTTTGAAGTTTGTTGTCAAGTGCAAGTTGATGGCATCAACGATGGATGACTTCAGCACAGATTATACCTGCTTGACGTTGCTTCGTAATCAATCGAGTAGTGTACCGGTTGGCGATGCGCACGGCACTAGTTCATTGGAAAGGAATGTTCTATGCAGCTTCCAGAACAGGAGGTCATCCAGACGCTGAATGGTTGCTTTGTCATCATGTTCAGACGTTCAACAGCAGCACCTGATACTGGAAGCAATGAGGGGGGCAAATTCCAGATCACAGATGCGACGGATGGAAAGATGTTGAAGCCGGCTGCTACCGACAGACTTCCAAATCGTCATTGCCGCTCAGGTACTTGCCCCTGTGTGCCTGTCCGTGCGAATAGACAGCAGCGGTTATGTGTGCCTGCATCAGAGCTGCCGCTTGTGCACATCTCCCGTAACGAAGAGTTCGGGTGTCGTTCCCTGACATTTCCTGTGACGGCGTGAGTGACACAAATATCATATGTGCGGCATTGAGAAACAATAGAAGCTCTCACAACTTCCCTCACAGCCTTTTTGACAGGTCGTGGCCAAGATCTAAACAGCACCTAATCTCAAACAGAGGCGGCGCGGGAGTGTCCCTCTGTCATCCCATCGTCGTGCAGGGATAGTACGAGTTGCAATATAATTTATGGGGACCATGGAAATCACATTTAATCTCAGACAAAGGTAGCATGCCGGCGATCGTCAGTAACCCAACAGCCTTATGCCTGCTCCATGAATCCGTCACAATAACTTCAGGAATGAACCACACTTGGCTTTTTGAAGCATGTAGGTCGGGTATTTGGCATTGATACATTTTCACCTACATAATACAATGGAGAATGTGGAGAGAGGATTGGATACGCAGATAAATGGGAGGAGGTTGCAACGGAAGATGACTTGATCCTTCTCAGATTAGCGCGACACTGTTTAGAAGAACTCCCAGAACAAAGGGTGCCCCCGTGTTGTTTCCAAAGAAATGGTGATGAACGGCCGAGTAAGACTGCAATTGGGTGAAGCAGTAATCAAGGGGAGTTATGAACTAGCTACTTCAGGTGCCACAGTCCTGCGCGGCAGGGGAGAAGGTATCCAATACCTACCCTGACACTTGGCTAACCTCGCTAGCTCGCTTGTGTGGAGCGGTGCCCCCATGGGCCTTCCCAACCACGCCGAAATCACCATGACACTTTCACTTGTTGCCCGTGTTCGGCTTGGGGTGTGCCGCCCCTGGTATCTTGGCCTGTTCCAACTTGCGCCTTGGAATCTCCCTTTTCTTCCTTGCTTTCCTCTCTTTCCTTTCTATTTCGTCCCCGTCTTTTCCGTACAACGCATCGACTTTGGCGTCTTGTTGGAGTCGCATTCTGCACCTTCTTTAATTCCTGACACTCGTTCGTCCGATTTGCCTGATCTGAGGCTCCGCTCTTTCTTCTTGTCGCTCCTTTAGACAGCTTTGTTGTGATTTCCTGCCGACCGCCGTTTTCTCATTTCGAGTCTTCGTTGCCCTTCGATCTACTACTAGTATTTGGGCAGATCACCAGAGCAACAACTCTTTGTCAATCAACAACCGAACTCGGTCATCTCGACTTGCAAATCCAGTAGCTGCGGAATTTCCAGACCCATCATACTATTGCCATGCTTGTAAGTATGCGCCGGCGCAGCCTCTTGGCCATGTTATATGCAGCTGTACTGCAGTAGCATGTACACTACATTGCAGTGGCACGCATGTGAGCGCAATGACTGACGCTACATGTGACTGTAGATCCAATCGACTCTTATCGCGCTCAGCGCGACCCTCGCTGCCGCCGTCAAGCCCTTGACGGTCAAGAACCAGTTCTTCGTCGACCCCAATGACAACATCTTCCAGATCGTCGGTGTCGCCTACCAGCCCGGTGGCTCTGCTGGCTACAATGCCGCCCTCGGAAAGGACCCCCTCAGCGATGGCGATATCTGCCGCCGTGACGCTGCCATTCTCCAGATTCTCGGCGTGAACACCATCCGTGTTTATAACTTGAACCCGGATGTCAACCACGACGAGTGCGCCAGCATCTTCAACGCCGCCGGTATCTACATGATCCTCGACGTCAACTCTCCCCAGGTTGCCGGCTCCCTGCAGAACTACAACCCCTGGGAGTCGTACTATGACACCTACGTCAACCGCACTTTCGCCGTTGTCGAGGCCTTCAAGAACTACGACAACACCCTTGCCTTCTTCTCCGGAAACGAGGTCATCAACGACGCTTCTTCCGCCGGCCAGGTCCCCCCTTACATGAGGGCCGTCACCCGCGATATCAAGAACTACGTCGCCAAGCACTGCGACCGCAAGATTCCCGTCGGCTACTCGGCCGCCGATGTCCGTGACGTTCTCTTCGACAGCTTCGAGTACTTCACTTGCGCTGAAGACGGCAAGTCCGACGACCCTAGCCGTGCCGACATCTTCGCCCTCAACAGCTACTCCTGGTGCGGTGACAGCGACATGCAAAAGTCTGGCTACGTTGACCTCGTCGAGGGCTTCAGCAACACCTCCGTCCCCGTCTTCTACTCCGAGTATGGCTGCAACGAGGTGAAGCCCCGTATGTTCACCGAGGTTGGCGCCATCTACGGCAAGGATTTCAGCGCCGTTTTCTCTGGTGGTATCGTCTACGAGTACACCGAGGAGGAGAACAGCTACGGTCTCGTCAGCGTCAACACCAAGGACCAGTCCGTCACCCTCCTCAAGGACTTCTACACCCTCAAGGATCAGTTCGCCAAGCTCGACTGGAAGAAGATTCAGGGTGTCAAGTCCGCCAAGGACGGCTCCGGCCCCAAGCCCCCCAAGTGCGACAAGAAGTTGATCCAGTCCAAGGACTTTGACGGCAACTTTACCCTCCCCGCCATGCCTCCCAACGTGCCCAAGATCCTCGCCAATGGTGTTAGCCCCAAGCCCAGCGGCAAGATCATTGAGGTTACCAACTTCAAGTCCAAGTACACTGTCAAGAACGCCGATGGTAGCGTCATCTCCGACTTGGCCGTCAAGCCCCTCAGCAACGACGAGAGCAACTGTGCGTATTCCTTCTTCTTTCAGTACCAAGGAAAACTTTAACTAACAAAATCACAACAGCTCCCGGTACCAACGATGCCAAGATCCAGTCCTCTGGCAGCGTCTCCTCCTCCTCCGGCAACTCCACCACCTCGGGCTCCAGCTCGGATGCTACATCCGACGCCAAGAACACCAGCGGCGCCGCCGGCAGCGCCGTTGCTATGACCGTGCCCGCCATGGCCATGGGTGCCTTTGCCATCTTTGCCGGTCTCGCCTTGTAGATGAGGCACCGGCACGTCAGAGCGCTGGCTGTTTAGTCGGCGGTTGTCATTTCTGCAAGTAAAAAATAGGTCATCAAGAAGATGCTATAGAGTTAAACCGATTGATAGCGCAAGTTGTAATAATCTGAAAGGTCATTATGATGTCCCGCCAAATTCTTTTTCTGCTTTTGATGCTGTTGCTGCTGGTGGTGGTCATGGAATAGTTGATGTTAAGTCTTGCTGTTCCTGGTCTGCAGGCGCTCAGAATCGAGTGGTTAAAGCTTTGATATGTTTCCTTGAGGGGTGTGGTGAGAAAGGGATCGAGTTAAAGTTGAGGTGAATAATGCAAAGGAGGCAGAGAAAGTGAGTGAAAGTTGGTGGTTACCCGAGTGTAGTGATTAGTGAAGGATCGTACATAGTGACTATTATCGTGATACCGGCAAAGAGGACATTAGCCGCTCTCTAGTGGTGCCTCTATATTACCTCTAAGTAGCTGATAGTCCGCTCGTTGCTAGGCGGTAGCCTGTTCTCAACAACGCCTTTACTTATCGTTTACACTCCTTGACCATGACCATATTCCTCCCCTTGACGTGACAAACTTGATGAAAGCAATAAGAGTTCATCCGCAAACCGACCATCTAACGACACAGGAGGATGAATGGTCTTTCAAGGGGTATGAATTTCAAGTACCGTATCTATATGCATAGTTACCACATGATAGCCGCAAATCATCCTTTTTTATATCCCAAGACCATTAGGCATCTCATTCCAAAGCCTCATTTCGTCTTTTACTTGTATTCATCACACACAACTACTCTCTACTCATCAACCCGATTCAAAATCGCCACGCCCTCGACATGCCCCGTCTGCGGGAAGAAATCAAACCCGCGAATGCTCTCAATCACATAGCGACTCATCTTCTTCTCCCCCTCCGTCGGATCCACAAACGCTTCCCCAAACGTATCCCCCACGCGGCCCCTGACCAACACGCCGACATCGCGCGCCTGCGTGTGCACGTTGCAACTGACATACACTACCCTCCTCGGCGCGAACTGCATCAGCTGCCGCAAAAAGCTGGCATCACACCCCTTGCGGGGCGGATCCAACACCACCACCGTCTCGTCCGCGTCGAGTTGCGCAACGGACTCGAACAGCTTGGGCGCGTCGGCCGCGATGAACTTGCACTGCGACTCGTCCAGCCCGTTCAGGCGGGCGTTGCGCCGCGCAAAGTCAATGGACTTGTCGGCGATGTCGATGCCGATCGAGCCACCCGGGAACAGGGAGGATTGGGTGATGGTGAAGAGGCCAGAGCCCGAATAGGCGTCTATTAGGTTCTTGATGGGCTTGGCGCCTTCCGGCAGCGAGGGCGGGAGGATGTGTTGGCGGATGTGGTCGGTAAAGGGGGAGAGGATGGAGTTGTTGTTTTGGAAGAAGGAGCCGGCCGGGTTCTGGAAGATGAAGGAATCAATGTACTCGGTCGAGGTGGCGTTGTTGTCAGTGATGCAGGTTTTGAAGTCGGTGTAGCTGCCGTCGGCGGCGGGGGTGACGATGGGCGTGGAGAGCACGCCGGGCTTGA